GTTCAGAAAGCAATAAATGCTGGTGATGGTGTGGAGAGACTGGAACCCTCATACACTGTTGGTGGGACTGTAATATAGTGTAACCTCTGTGGAAAATGGCATGGTACTCCCTTGAAAAGCTGGAACTAGAGATACCTTATGATCCAGCAATCCTCGTATGAGATATGTAGCCTAAAGAAATAAGAGCCATGACATGAACAGATAGAGGCACACCCATGTTCATTGCAGCACTGTTCACAATAGCAAAAAGGTGGAAACAATCTAAATGCCGTCAGTGGAGAAATGGATCAATAAACCATGGTACATACACATAATGCAATACTAAATTCAACAAACCAAACTCACTGCCGTTGAGTTGATTCTGACTCATAGCAACCCCTGCTGGGTTTCTGAGGCTGTAAATCTTTATGGAAGCATATTGCCCCATCTTCCTTCCATGGAGCACCTGGTGGGTTTGAACCAGTGACCTTCTGGTCAGCAGCCAAATGCCTTATCCACACCACCAGTGCTCCTTAATGCAATACTGTGCAATGTTAAAGAACAATGAATCTGGGAAACAGCTCATGGATAAACTGAGAGGCCATTATGCTGAGTGAAATTAGTCAATTCAAAAGGACAAATATTGTATGAGATCACTATTGTAAAAAGTCAAGAAAAGGGTTTCATACACACAAAAAAAGAAATATTCTTTGACGGTTACCAGGGGTATGTGGGGTAAGGAGGGTAAACTACTAACTAGAGGGCAAAAACCAAAACCAAACTCACTACCATCGAGTGAGATCCGACTCATACCGACCCCTCCTTGGGTTTCTGAGGCAGTATCACTACTGAAGTAGATTGCCCAGTCTTCCTTCTGAGGAGTGGCTGGTGGGTTTGAACTGCCAGCCTTCTGGTTAGCAGTCAAATGCCTTAGGCACTATGCCACTAGAGGGTAGATACATATTAACTTGGGTGAAGGGAATACAATTTTAAAAAGTGAGCTGTAGATTCTACAAGATGAGTAAGCTTGTCCGAGGCATCTTTGTCACTCTCCTCCTCAGATCCATCCTCATTCTTGGGTAGAGAAAAGAAATAATCTAGAATTTCTTTGTCCTTCAAAGAGTCCATTTCTGAAAAAGAAGAATTTTTCAGGGGGGGTGAAGATAGGTTCTGCCAAACCAGGATACAACCAGTACCATACCTCCAAACCAGTCTGAACATGCAAGGGGAGAAATTGCCTACTTCCAGCCTCCTGTACACATGCAAACAACAAAAGGATTTGTTGTCATGGAAAAATTAATACTACAATAGATCAAGTTTTCTTGAATATAATTAACTGCTTACAGCTCATAAACCAGAAATGTCCTCAATGATTGCAAGAAGCATACATACAGTACATCAAAGGCACTGTGGCACGTGCTTATAATACATTGTGCTTGAATATAAGTTAATCACATGAAAATTAAATTACAAACAATGCAACTTCCAAATAACCTGCAGGAAACCGCAAATAGACTTATAAAGCTTAGCTCACTGTGCAAAGGAAATCAAAGTTTTACACAGTCATACCTGTAGGAGGCACCACCTTGTCCAGTAACCTAAACACAGTGATTTGGCACCACCAAATGTTTCTCTGGTTTTTGTCAGTTACGTATATACCCCCAGATGGCAGCCCCTGCTATAAATGGGGCACTAGCATTCCAGGACCACCACTCATCTGTCAGTTTGTCATACTGTGGTAGCTTGCATGTTGCTGTGAGGCTGGGGCTATGCCACCAGTATTTAGAATACCAGCAGGGTTACCCATGGTGGACAGGTTTCAGTGGAGTTTCCAGACTAAGACAGACTCAGAAGAAGGAAGGGGCCATCCACTTCTCAAAGAATTGGCCAGTGAAAACCTTCTGAATAGCAGTGAAAGACTCTCTGATATATTACTCATCTATGCCAAGAAATTTGGCCAACTGACAGGAAAAGATCCATATTCCAAAGAAAGGTGATCCCACAGAATGTGGAAATTATCAAACAATGTCATTAATATCACATGCAAGTAAAATCTAGCTGAAGATAATTCAAAAATGGTTGCAGCAGTATTTTGACAGAGAACTTCCAGAAATGCAAGCTGGATTCAGAAGAGGACATGGAACAAAGAATATCATTGATGATGTCAGATGGATCTTGGCTGAAAGCAAAGCATACCAGAAAGATGTTTACTTGTGTTTTATTGACTATGCAAAAGGATTTAATTGTGTGGATCATAACAAATTATGGATACCATTGAGAAGAATGGGAACTCCAGAACCCTTAGGTATGCTCATGAGGAACCTGTACATAGACCAGGAGGCTGTCCTTGGAACAGAACAAGGGGATACTGCGTGGTTTAAAATCAGGAAGGGAGTGGATCAGCATTGTGTCCTTTCATCATACGTATTCAATCTGTATGCTGAGCAAATAGTTTGAGAAGCTGGACTATATGAAGAAGAGCGTGGCATCAGGATTGGAAGATGACTCATTAACAAGCTGCAATATGCAGATGACATAACTTTGCTTGCTGAAAGTGAGGATGACTTGAAGCACTTACTGATGAAGATTAAAGACTATATAGTCTACAGTATGGATTACACCTCAACATAAAGAAAACGAAAATCCTCACAACTGGACCAATAAGAAGCATCACGATAAGTGGAAAAAGACTGAAGTCATCAAAGATTTCATATTACTTGGTTCCACAATCAATACCAATGGAAGCAGCAGTCAGGAAATAAGATGACATATTGCACTTGGCATATCTGCTGCAAAAGACCTCTTTAAGGTGTTGAAGAGCAAAGATGTCTCTTTGAAGACTAACCAAAAACTATACCCTTGCCATTGAGTTGATTCTGCCTCATAGCGACCCTCATGGGTTTCTGAGGCAGGTAACTCTTTACGGAGGTAGATTGCCCAGTCTTACTGCCATGGAGTGAACCCCCAATCTCCTGGTTAGCAATCAGATGCCTTAGCCACTGTGCTACCAGAGCTCCTTCTTTGAAGACTAAGGTGCACCTAATCCAAGCCGTGTATTTTCAATGACCTCACATGCACGTGAAAGCTGGACAGTGAATAAGGAAGACTGAAGAAGAGTTGATGCTTTTGAGTTGTGGTGTTGGTGAAGAATGCTGGAAGTACCATGGAATGCCAGAAGAATGAACAAATCTGTCCTGGAAGAACTGCAGCCACAATGCTTCTTGGAAGTGAGAATGGCCAGACTTGGTCTCACTACCATTGGTCATGTTGTCAGAAGGGACCATTCCCTGGAGGAGGATATCATGCTTGATGAAGTGGAGTGTCAATGACAGAGGGGAGGCCCCTCAATGAGATGGATTGACAGTGGCTGCAACAATGGACTCAGGTATACCAAGGATTGTGGGGCTGGCACAGGACTGGGCAGTGTTTTGTTCTGTTATACATAGGACTGCTATGAGTTGGAGCCAACTTGACAGGACCTAACAACAACAACAAAGCATCCTAAGAGATCCAAGAGGCAAAAAAATATAACTGGGACTTGTATGTCCAGTGGTCATATAAGTCAGTGAAGGGGCTAAAGTTAACACTCCTTTGTTCAGGTAAGCCTGAAGTGTGGAGTGCTATCTCCCTAACCCATACCATGACTGGTCCTGCCCTCTAAATCCCAGGAAGAAACAGAAAATCCTGTGTAATCTCATGTCTTCCTCCCTCCCCCCACAGGTAGATAGCATTTCCACAGAGTAATATGGTTGATTATATCTGTCATCTCCTATAGATGATGAGTCCCTCTAGTCCTTCTCATCTCTATTTGAGTTGAAACAATTGGATGGTAGCAGAGAGAGCACAGATTTTGGAATCAAAAGATCTGAGTTAGAATTTCAGCATGGATACTTGCTGTGTGACCTTGTTGTTGTTGTTGTGGTTATGTGCTGTAGAGTCAGCCCCGACTCACAGCGACCCCTCCTTGGGTTTCCAAGGCAGTATCACTACAGAAGTAGGAATGCCCAACCTTCCTTCTGAGGAGTGGCTGGTGGGTTTGAACCGCCAGCCTTCTGGTTAGCAGTCAAGTGCTTTAGCCACTATGCTACCAGAGCTGTGTGACCTAGGGCAAATTAATTTGCTTCTCTCTGTCTCTGAAAGCACATCTGTGAAATGAGGAGAGCAGCTATGCGAAATGCCTAGTACCACACCTGAGGTATTTGTAGGTAGCAAACATACTTACAGAATCAAAGTGAATGTGTCCTTTGACAAGAGGATCTTCCTTCCGAGAGCTGCCAGTCCAAAACACCCTTCCCCCAGCCCTGCTATGATTCCACGCAACCTCAAGGGCTGGACTCAGTTCTCAGCTCTCCAGGAAGCCTCTGACAGCTCCAGTCCAGTGATGGGTTACATCGACATCATTTCACTGTCTGAGTGATAAAAAAGATACTAAAAAAATATTGCCTGGACTTAATATTTGAATATTTGTGTATCTTTTCTTCCCATCTGGATTGGAAATATTTTAGGGGCAGGATATCTTTTTATACCTTTTATAACATGATGTGTTCCGTTAGAGTGTTTTACAAGACAGGTACTTTGACTGATTTGATTTTGGCCTACAGTGGACTTTATCTCTGGGGTGCATGTGCTGCTGGTGGTAGGCCCATTATGGGGCTGTCCTCGCCCCACACTCTCCTCTGCACTCTTCTTTGTGCATTCTCCCATTGTTTATCTGGTAAGACATGAAGTGCTATTGAATATCAATGAAGCCCCTGCTATACATATACAGAAAAGTGACAGAAATCCCTTAAGGGCACAACTCATAGAATAAACATGATCATCATAATGTACATCACCTTTTCTTTACAGGCTCTTGTGTGTGTGTGGTAAGCTTGTTTTGTGTGTGAGGGTGATCAAACTATGTTAAATGAAACATCAGAGGGAAGAATAAGAAACACAACTGTATGTCTAAATCCAGCCCTGCAGTCCTGGTTTGTGCTGTTACCAAGTGAAATTTGTCTGTATCTTTCACCCTTTGTCAGGCCGAGCTACAGAAGCTGAGACAACAAGCCCTGGAGACCAAACACTTCATTGAAAAGCAAGAAGCAGAAGAGAGAAAACTCCTGCGGATCATTGCTGAGGCTGATGGGGAGAGGCTGAGACAGAAGAAGGAATTAGACCAGGTGGGAGCACCTGCAGACCTGCAGCCCTTCTCGGCAGATGGCGATATTTGACTCAATTCTTTATGAACCTTTGTTCCTGTCTAAGCGCTTCCATCCAATGCTATTGGAAGAATAGCAACAGAGGCCCATCTTTTTCTGATTGATTATGAAATATTCATTCATTCAACTCTTATTTATGAGGACTTGTTACGTGTCAGTTACTCTAAACGTGGGGGATACCTGGCAAACGAGAAAACAGCTCTTGTTCTCAAGGAGCTGAAGTTCTGGTGTCATAGAATTGCTCATAAGAATCATAATTTGTAATTAGATAATCTGGGAGTTAGAAACTGAAATGCATAACCTGGCAGTTAGAAACTCAAATGTTTTCCAGGACTTGGCAGGTGAAAAAATGTAAGTTTGCTTTAGTGTAAGACAGTAAGAAATAGTGCAACTTGGCAAGCACTAGCTTACCATAACACAATAAAGTCATTCAAATTTAAACATTTTATAAATAATGTGATGGAAAACAAACAAACTGACATACTCATGGGCCAAAGCTTGGAACTGTGGATTATTAGTAGTATTCTTTCTCTTTCCAATGAGACTGTAAACTCTGAAGGGAAGAGTCCCAGGCCTGCACATATGGAGGTTCCATAAATATTCATTGACTGAATGAATGCTGCTGCCTTAATGAACAACGAGACTTTGGGTCAGTGAGTGACATTTTCTTGGTGGCCATGTTCTTGCTTCTCTTTTTAGGTCATCAGTGAGAGAGATATCCTGGGCTCTCAGCTCATTCGGCGCAATGACGAATTAGCTTTGCTCTATGAAAAGATCAAGATCCAGCAGTCCGTGCTCAACAAAGGCGAGAGTCAGTACAACCAGAGGGTGGAGGACATGAGAATCCTCAAACTTGAGATCAGGAAGCTTCGCCGGGAAAAGGGGATTCTTGCCAGGAGTGTGGCCAATGTGGATGAACTCAGGTAAAAGGAGACCCCTTAAGGCTGGGCACAGTGGTCTGCTTCGAGGTCCTGAAATAACCTTGTTTGCATGCTTGTTGGTCACTGAAGATCTTTATCAAGTTATATAATAATTTTATATGATGAAATTATTAGTAAATAATTAGAGCTGAATCAACACTGTGTTCATGCTATGTTGCAAATATGAACTAGTTTCCTTCCGGAGAATCAAGTGAGTGCAAAAAGATTTTTTCTTTTTCTTTTTTTTTTTAAACTATCCTGGATTTTAAAAAAGAAATTTAAAGTCAAATCCCAAACACAAACTAGTTTCAATTCAGAAACTATTTTTTTTCCCCAGTGAGCTCTTTAGAATGTCTTTAATAAGGCAGTAGAGGTGGAGCGTCAATATTTAAATTTAATCTTTGTAACATTTGCACATCTTTTTCTTAGAAATATATACAGAATGAAAAGAGGTGAAAAATTTAATTTTATCACTGTTTGAAACCTATTTCCTTAGAAGGCAGCCAACTTTTATATCTCACTCTTGATTTATCTCCTGCAGCTTTAACTTCAGTTTAGTGCATCTTCTTCTTTCTTTAAATCTTGCATTACACAAGATCTACTTTCCTTCTGGGAAAAACATCACCATGTTTTATGTAGGCAATTGCAGGCAACCAAATAAGAGGTCTGGTGATTTCTCAGGAGTTATCCTTATTCCCCACAGATTTGTACATGAACAGTATCCTTGACCACCTTGGGGGCAAGGGCACAGTTTGAACCTGCTTCTCAAATTAATTGGATTGGAAAATAATTTTGATATTTCAGTGCAGTCAGTGCAGTGAGTATATTCAGGAATAGTTGCCACTATCAAGGATGGATCTATCTATCTATCTATCTATCTATCTATCTATCTATCTATCTATTTATCTATATGTATGAGTGGCTTGCATTTCAGATATGAAAGTAAGATAAATTCATTGGAAAAAATGTAGGAAGTGCAGAAAACATATAAAGGAGGGGTGAGGAAACCATTCATAACCTTACTACCTAGAGATATCATGATTGACATTCTGGAGACAAATAGATGAATTCGCAGTAGCCATTGAGTGTTCTCCAAGACTATCACCAAACTTGCCAGCCATGCGCTATTTTTACTACATACACAAAGAACCAAATTTTACCCATTCCTGGTCAATATTGTTGGTTTGTTGAGAATAGACTTTATTTTCCTTTTCAAGGGGAATGCAATTTAATAAAGGTATTGGGGGTAAGCAGGCATGAATCCCAATCTCAGCCTTGCCACATACAAGTTGTGTGAACTTGGGCAGATCACTGAACTTCTCTGAACTTTGGAGTTGTAGTTAAAATTAAGCATGAGAACAAATGTAATATGCCTAGCAGAGTCCAGTACAAAATAAGTCATCAATAACAGTAGCTAAGGCATTTGACTGCTAACCAGAAGGCTGGCGGTTCAAACCCATCAGCCACTACTCGGAAGGAAGATTAAGCAATCTAGTTCCAGAGTGATACCGCCTCAGAAACCCAAGGAGGGGTCGCTATGAGTCAGGTCCCACTCGATGGCAGTGAGTTTGGTTTTGGTTTTAACTGGAGCTAATACTCTTGCCCTTCTCTTCTGATGACACTTGAGAAAATGGAAGTGTTAAAAATATGCTTTTAATTCTAAGCAGCTTGTTCTGAGCTCCCTGTTGAGTGAACATCATGCAGTTAATTCTAATGGTTTGTCTTGCTAATGAGGGGAAGTTGTATTATTGGTTTAAATGAAGCAATTAAGTAAAAGAGATGGCTTAGTATTAGTAATCTGCACACCCGCAGCAAATGAGGACAGATAATGACATCCTTATTGCCCATGTCAATGTGAGTGCGTGCCTCTCCTCCGCCCCTCTAAAGGCGCTTCTCATTCGGTGGGGTGGCAAAAACTCACAAGCTGCTGAGGATGGCTGTAGCACATTGCCTATTAACTAGAGATCCCTGGAGATTTCAGGGGACTGTTAAAGGCAGAGCTAGTTCTTCAGGACTTTTTCAGTCATCTGGGTAGTTGGGGAACATGAGATAACATACATTGTCCCAGCTCAGTGGCTGCCCATTCTGTTTGCCCCCAAGACTTCTACACCTTCAAAGCCCCTGCTTCAAGCTACACTAATTAATGCAGAATCCCCTCTGGCTCCGGGCAGAGAGATGTTTTCAAAACTCCCCAGGTGATTGCAATGTGTAGTCAGGGTGGAGACCTACTGCCCCAATTGATGTCAAATTATCATCTGAGCCTCCATACTGGCAGTCAGGTACCAGCGTTTGGGTGGTCTGTAGATTCTTCTCCTGCTGCTACTATGTTGTTGTTATTTGCCATCGAGTTGGACCCGACTCATAGCGACCCCTCCTTGGGTTTTCGAGGTGGTATCACTACGGAAGTAGATTGCCCAACCTTCCTTCCGAGGAGTGGCTGGTGGGTTTGAACCTCCAGCCTTCTGGTTAGCAGTCAAGTGCCTTAGGCACTATGCTACCAGAGCTCCCACTACTACTATAGACATTTAGAAATATTTTTTAAAAAGTACTGACACTCTCATAGGTCAGCTCCTGTCTATTCCTTCCATATACCTCAAATTCCTAGAGTATCTGAAGGCATAATTCTGAGCCCTGGTATTGCTGTTTTTTGAAATTAAGGCTGATGCTAGAGCTCTGTAAGAATTGATTTCATCTGTGTCTTGCCCACAGAGCTCTGATGGCACAGTGGTTAAAGCGCCTGGCTGCTAACCGAAAGGTTGGTGGTTCAAACCTGCCAGCCACTCTGTGGGAGAATGATGTGACAGTCTGCTCCTGTAAGGATTTACAGCCTTGAAAACCCGTACAGGGCAGTCTTACACCATTGCCATGAATTGGAATTGACTTGATGTCAAAAGGTTTGGTTTAGTTTGGATGTCTTGGCCAGGTTAGGAGGCTGCTTGCAGTGTATGCAGATGTCTCCCTAATTCCAACTTTCTATCTAAGATTTAGGATCCTTAGTAGTCTACTTTTGTAGTGATACTGCCTCAGAAACCCAAGAAGGGTCGTTATGAGTCAGATCCGACTCCACGGCAGTGAGTTTGGTTCAGTTTTTAGTGATATAGTGGTTAAGCACTCAGCTGCTAAACAAAAAATTTGACGGTTTGAACCCACCAGCCACTCCGCAGGAGAAAGATGAGGCGGTTTGCTTCTATAAAGAGATACAGTTTAGGAAACCCTATGGGCAGTTCTACTCTGTCCTAGAGGGCTATTATTAGTCAGAAGCAACTTGTCAGCAAGTTTTTTTCAATCTAAGACTTAATCTGTACATAACGATTTGAAGATGCTATCTTCCAATGGAGGAGCTCTGGTAGCATAGTGCCTAAGGCACTTGACTGCTAACCAGAAGGCTGATGGTTCAAACCCACCAGCCACTCCTCGGAAGGAAGGTTGGGCATTCCTACTTCCATAGTGATACTGCCTCGGAAACCCAAGGAGGGGTCGCTATGAGTCGGGGCCGACTCGATGGCAAATAACAACAACAACAACAACAACAACAACATCTTCCAATGGGCAAAGAATTTCTTAGCAAAAGAAAAACATTTGTCGTACTCAGGGAGGAGCTTTTTCACATGCAAAGAGAATTCCTGAAGGAGAGGACACGGTGCCGAGCCCTGGAGGAGGAACTGGAAAACCCCATGAATGTGCACAGGTGGCGGAAACTCGAGGTAACATCCGACAGAGCTTTCCATGCCCATGTCTCTTCTCCTGACCTCCCCCCAACATTTCCTAACCTGACACACAATGAGAAGCATGGTTTTATTGAATTCATGCAAATTGTTACCTAAAATGTCAGCGTGGATCAAATGTAAATTGACTTGTTCCAGAACAAAACGTTCACTTGGGTTTTGTTGAAGACATCTTGGACAAAATCCTTTCTGCCTAAAAATGGTCCAGTGACAGTTATGAACTGGCCTTACCAATTGATACTTACTTTTTTTTGTTCTGGTAGTTTTTGGCCTACCAGTTATCCTCTGGCCACCTATTAACCTTGGATTATGAATTGCCTTTCACTATATTGGCCATCAGCATCTTTACCATCTTTCCATTGGTCTTTGCATCCCTTTAATTTCTACAGGCAATGTGGTCTTGAGAAGTAGCCCTCTTTATTTGAAAGACCAGCATTTGTTAATCAAACCCTTTCTCTTAGGATCTGGGGACACAATCAAAGTCTCATTGGTAGCTGATGGATAATGAACTTCATTTTTCTTTTATGACTTCTGTCACACAGTGCCACTAACGCTGCAAATAACAGTTAAATTCAGGCTGTTTATCCCAGACAAAGCTGGCCATCTCTGTTTCTCTGCCCTGCAATTTGGGTGCCAAAAGGGGCTTTGATTAAATGAACAAGTTGGGTTTTTGGGAGAATATAGGTATGTGATGTAAGAAAGAGAAGGACAAGGAGAAAAACTCAGCCAAGTAGGTTTTTGTTTTTTCCTTTTAATGAAGAAAGCATTAAGGATAATGCACTCTAAATTGTTACATAAACATGAGGTCTGAATTTTAACAACATCCAGCCCTGCCAAGTGAATATGTGCCAAGTCTAGTCCTAATGTATGGATATCAGTTGGCACTGCTTAGGATTTAAGCAAAGTGAGAGTCAATGGATTCTCTCTCTCTCTTTTTTTTCTTTTTCTTTTCATTTTCCTTTTGTACCCTCATTTGTTCCTCTTCAAATGCTAAGAGTGTTGTATTTTACTAAACTAACTATAGCTTGGATGTGTTTGGGGAAGTCGAGCTGAAGATTTTAAATCTATTTACTGTCACAGTAGTTTATGCCATGTGTTTTCAAGCAGGTCTTTAAAGTGTCCAATTCCATGTCAGTTTCTATTAAAAAATTAGAAAATAGAGACTCTAGGAGACCATTGAAAATATTTGTTTGCTAGATTAATTCAGAATGTCAGTATGGTTGAGAGTGAAGCTTTGGCTAAAGTCTAGAGGACAAATGATCAATTTATAACTGTAGATCTTGTTTGAATTGTACTGACATAGCTATTGAAGGAGCATCAGAGCCCCACGGATTGATAACTCCATTTGAGAGCTAACTGTCACGGTCATGTTCTGCTGCCAATTGTTAGCTGAGGTCCACATCCTAGAAACCTTCCCCATCATTGGCTGTAATGAATCTTCTTGTCAGCAATTACCAGAGGAGAATCCTAGGATGAGTAAATTAGGGATCCTTGTCTCATTCCCATGGAAACAAAGATGATGGTAGGGGAAGCCTCAGAGCATAGTAATTAACAAACGCAGGTTCTGGGGGCCAGGCATATATGGGCTTGAATCCAGCTCAAACCTGATGCCAATTTACCCAGTTTGGTTAAATGACAACTTCTCCAAGGCTCACTTGCCTCATCTGTAAAAGGGGGAAGACTAACACTGTCTCAAAGGGTTGTCAAGAGGCTGAAACATGGTATTGCATGACAAGTACTTATCATGGTGACTGGATGGTGGCAAAGAACCAGACATCATTGTAACTACCATTATTATTATTCCCATGGAGGAATTAACATATCCCCTTTCTATGTATTGGCTAAATAGTGCCATAGGTAAGACTTTAGGGGAACGGCAGTCTGCTCTTTTGGGGGGCTGGTGTTTATGACCATCCCATCTATTATCCACCCCCCCCTTTTTTTTTTTTTAAAAAAAAAAAATCAGATTCTTTCTGTATTGGGGCTGAAGGTTTGCAATAGATTTCAATAATAATTTTCCATAGAGATTTCAGTGCTTTGGAAGTTAACTAATGACATCTCAGCTACTTTTATGTTTTTGCTATTCCCCTTGGACAGGCCAGTGACCCCAGTACCTTTGAGCTGATAAAGAAAATTCATGCCCTGCAAAAGCGTCTCATCAGCAAGACTGAAGAGGTTGTTGAAAAAGAGCTGCTTCTTCAGGTAGCATTTTCGTTTTCTATACAAACTGAACAAATGTATTTTCTCAGCATTGCCATTTCCAGGACTGTGTTAGAATCAATCAGTTATTTGGCAGCATGGCATGCCCCATATTTAACTGTAGATGGCAACAGTGACTCATGCATAGAGAACAAACACAACCTGATTAATTGGCCTTTTATGCTGCAAAACCTCGAGAATTCTGGAAAATTTAGTCCAAGGCTAGACTTACGGCACTGGGTAATGTGAGCACCCCCCTCCTCTCTATCTCTACAGTTTTGTCTGTCAGATTCTTTTAAATACTTTTCTTCCTATCTTCATATAATGTGAAATGCTGTGATTTTGATTTTGAAAATAAGCTCTCACAAGTGATCTGGCCGCTTGAAGATTTATTGTGATTGAAATGGAAGGGAAGATTTCTTTTCGAGGATTTTATGCAGTAAGTTATTCTGGAGCAATTAGAAAGGGTAAGATTCTTTAGGCTTAAATCTTTGCAAGTAAGCGTTGTTAGCACCACCATCACTACTACTACCACCACCACGACGTCCTTCTCCTCCATCATCATCCCCATTACCACCAACACTTATTCTATCAGTTACTTTGCTGGGGACTTTATCTACCTTATTTCATAATTTAGGGGGTAAGTATTATTAGCTCCAGTCTATGAATGAGGGGTTAAGGCATTTAGTGTGGGTACGAATGTAAGCTTTGGGGTTAAATGGCCTGGATTGGAATGCTGCCTCTGTCAATTTGTAGCTGTGTGAGTTTAACTTCTCTGCATCTTAGGTTCTTAATCTGTATTAAGGGACAAAAACAGAACTTGTGAGAAGGCCTGTTGTGAGGAATGAAGCATCATGCTCCGCACAAATTGCCTAATAAATATTAGCAATTGTTTCTGATTCTGCAAACTGTAATCCTAACCTCTGGGTTATCATTAGTGGAGGAGAAGGAACTTCCTCAGCAGTGGGTATCTGCCCCTCCTGTTTTCCCTGACACCTTAACAGAGGTGGGTTGTTGTTGTTGTTGTTATGTGCCGTCGAGTCAAACCTGACTCAGCGACCCCTCCTTGGGTTTCCGAGGCAGTATCACTACGGAAGTAGGATTGCCCAACCTTCCTTCCGAGGAGTGGCTGGTGGGTTTGAACCGCCAGCCGTCTGGTTAGCAGGCAAGTGTCTTAGCCACTATGCTACCAGAGCTCCCAACAGAGGTGGGTACACAGTAAAAAGCCTTCCACTAAGTGTGGCATAGTGCCTATCCAGATGGCTGGCAGTTCAAACCCACCAGCCACTTCTCAGAAGGAAGATTGGGCAATCTACTTCTGTAGAGATACCACCTCAGAAATCCAAGGAAGGGTCATTATGAGTCAGATCTGACTCTACGGCAGTGAGTTTGGGTTTTTTGGTTTTATGTGGTAGACAGGGATTTTCCTCCTCTCTTGTAGCTGAGCATGGTGGTTCACAGGACAGGTTTTGGAGTTGGAAAGATCTTATTTTGAATCTCAACTCCAACTTCATAGTTTCAAAAAACTCAATCTCCCCACCTGTGACATGAGGATTATAATATCTATTACGAGAGGAATGTCTCTGGGCAGAGGACAAAATTGTATTTCTTGTTGTAAGGATAACGAATTACTGTGTGTGGGCACAGGGGTCCATTAGTCGAGGGTTTGAGCTGTGGGTCACTCACTCAAGACTATGTAGGTGGCAGGGGTGGGACTCAGCCAGGCAGTCATCTCCAGAGCCCAAGCTCTCTACTGGTTTGCTACTCTGCCTCCTCTAGTATTTATTACCTAGCTTTTAACTAACCAGATTTTACTTCATATGAAACTTTCATACTGTAAGTTTGTTTTATATTTCACTGATTGCTCTTTCTTTTTTCCTGCCTTCTATGTATTTTGGATTTGCTCTGTTCTTTACCTTTTGAGATTGATTCTCAGCTCATTAATGTTCAGTCATTTTTTTCTAAAGAAGCATTTAAAGCTGTAAAATGTCCTATAATGTCTATTTCTTAGTTATTTCCACAGGTTTTGGTATGTGGTATTTTCATTTCCATTTATTCTAAATATTTTCTAGTTTTACAGTTCTCCAATTTGCACTATTTGTCCTATGATGATTAAAGGCACATCTTTAAATTTCTAAGTATATAGTATTTAAGTTTTCTTTTAGTGAAGTGACCATCCACTTCTCAAAGAATTGGCCAGTGAAGACCTTATGAATAGCAGTGAAACAGTGTCTGATATATTACTGGAAAACTTTATGAACAGCCCTGGAACATGGTCTGATATAGTGATGAAAGATGAACCTATCAGGTCAGAAGGCACTCAAAATTTAACTGAGGAAGAGCTGACTCCTTACAGTAGAGATGACCTTAACGATATGGATGGAGTAAAGCTTTCGGGAGCTCCATTGGCTGATGTGGCACAACTCAAAATGAGTAGAAACAGATGCAAACATCCATTTATAATTGGAACATGGAATATATGAAGTATGAATCTAGGAAAATTGGAAGTTGTAAAAAAATGAAGTGGAACGCATAAAGATCGATATCCTAGGCATTTGAGAGCTGAAATGGATGGGTTTTGGCCATTTTGAATCAGACAACTGTATGATCTACTATGCCAGGAATGACAAATTGAAGAGAAATGGTGTGGCATTCATCATCACAAAGAGTGTTTCAAGATCTGTCCTGAAGTACAATGCTGTCAACGATAGGACAATATCCATATGCCTACAAGGAAGACCAGTTAATACTACTATTATTCAAATTTATGCCTCAACCACCAAAGCCAAAAATGAGGAAATTGAAGATTTCTACCAACTTCTGCAGTCTGAAATTGACTGACCATGCAATCAAGATGTGTTGATTATCACTGGTGACTGGAATGCAAAAGTTGGAAACAAAGAAGAGTTACCAGTAGTTGCAAAATATGGTCTTGGAGATAGAAATAATGCTGCAGATCGCATGATAGAATCTTGCAAGAACAATGATTTATTCATTGCAAATACCCTTTTCAACAACATAAGCAACAAGTATACACGTGGATTTCATCAGATGGAATGTACAGAAATCAGATTGACTATATCTGTGGCGAGAGGCAATGGAGAAGTTCAATACCTTCAGCCAAAAAAGGCCGGGAGCTGATTGTTGAACAGACCACTAACTGCTCATATGCATGTTCAAGTTGAAGTTGAAGACAATTAAAACAAGTCCACGAGAGCCAAAATATGACCTTGATAATATCCCTCCTGAATTTAGAGACCATTTAAAGAATAGATTTGATGCATTGAACACCAATGACCAAAAACCAGAGGAACTGTGGGATGACGTCAAGAACATCCTCCATGAAGAAAGCAAGAGGTCATTAAAAAGACAAGAAAGGAAGAAAAGACCAAAAAAAGATGTCAGAAGAGACTCTCAAATTTGCTCTTGAGCTGAGAATAGCTAAAGCAAATGGAAGAAATGACAAGATAAAAGAGCTGAATGGAAGATTTCAAAGAGCAGCTAAAGCAGACAAAGCCAATTACTATAAGGAAATGTGCAAAGACCTGAAGTTAGAAAACCAAAAGAGAAGAACACACTCAGCATTTCTCAAGCTGAAAGAACTAAGGAGAAAATTTAAGACTTGAGTTGCAATATTGAAAGATTCTATGCAAAAATATTGAATGATGCAGGAAGTATCAAAAGAAGATGGAGGGAACACACAGAGTCACTGTACCGAAAAGAACTTGTAGATCTTCATCCATTTCAGGAGGTAGCATATTATCAAGAACCAAGTACTGAAGGAAGAAGTCAAAGCTGCACTGAAGGAATTGGCAAAGAACATGGCTCCAGGAATTGACAGAATACCCATTGAGATGTTTCAACAAAATGGATGCCCTGCCAGAGGCACTCACTCAGTTATGGCAAGAGATTTGGAAGACAGCTACCTGGCCAACTGACTGTAAGAGATCCATATTTGTACCTATTCCAAAGAAAGGTGATCCCATAGAATGTGGAAATTAGTGAACAATGTCATTAATATCACATGCAAGTAAAATCTTACTGAAGATCATTCAAAAATGGTTGCAACAGTATATTGACAGAGCTTCCAGAAACACAACCTAGATTCTGAACAGGATGTGGAGAGAGGGATATCATTGCTGATGTTGGATGGATCTTAGCTGAAAGCTAAGAATACCAGAAAGATGCTTAGTTATGTTTTATTGACTGTGCAAAAGCATTCGATTGTGTGGATCATAACAAATTGTGAATAATGTTGAGAAGAATGGGAATTCCAGAACATTTGATTGTACTCATGAGGAACCTGTATATAGATCAGGAGGCTGTCATTTGAACAGAACAAGGGGATAGTGCATGGTTCAAAATCAAGAAGGGAGTGCATCAAGGTTGTATCCTTTCACCATACTTACTCAACTTGTGTGTTGAGCAAATAATCTGAGAAGCTGGATTATGTGAAGAAAAACATGGTATCAGGATTGGAGGAAGACTCATTAACAACCTGTGATACGCAGATGACACAACTTTGCTTGCTGAAAGTGAGGATGACTTGAAGCACTTACTGATGAAGATTAAAATCTACAGTCTGCAGTATGGATTACACCTCAATATAAAGAAAAAAATCCTCACAGCTGGTCCAATAAACAGCTTCACGGTGGGTGTAGAAAAGATTGAAGTTGCGAAGGACTCCATATTAGTTGGTTCTACAATCAACACCAATAGTAGCAGCAGTCAAGACATCAGACAACATAGTGCATTGGGCAAATCTGCTGCAAAAGGCCTCTTTCAAGTGAAAAGCAGAGATGTTTCCTTGAAAAGGTGCATTTAAACCAAGCCATGGTATTTTCAGTCACCTGTTATGCGTGTGAGAACTGGACAATGAATAGGGAAGACCGAAGAAGAGTTGATGCTTTTCAGTTGTGGTGTTGGAGAACAATGCTAAGAGTACCATGGTCTGCTAAAAGGACTAACAAATCTGTCCTGGAAGAAGTGCAGTGGGAATGCTC